GTGTCCGTAATATCATCCCTGCATGCCATCTGTATTCTGTGCATGCATGATGCCTTCCTCACGGGGCATATCCCAGTAGTCCGAAGACGCAATGTGACCATCTGACTGAGTTTTAAATATACTGACCAAGTGCCTTCTGACCAGGTCCCCACTTGATGACAATCAACAAAAGGTAAATGTGACTGAAACTGTGGCCTAGACAACAGGACTTAGACTTTGTTGTGAGACTATAAAGGATCTATCCATTGCACTGCTGAACCTAAGCATTCGAGTCTAACATTGACAATTCTCCTCTTTCGGCAGCCACTCGCTCAACATGGCTTTCCTCAAACGCATTCTCCCGCTGCTCGCCCTGCTTTTGCCTGCAGTATTCAGTGCCACAGAGCAGGTCCCTCATCCGACCATCCAGACCATCCCGGGAAAGTACATCGTTACTTTCAAGGCCGGCATTGACAACGCGAAAATTGAGTCCCATTCCGCATGGGTAACGGAGCTCCACAGACGCACCATAGAAGGCCGCAGTACACCCTACGACGACCTTCCCGCCGGCATCGAAAGAACATACAAAATTGCCAATTTTGCTGGGTACGCGGGGTCTTTTGATGAAAAGACTATTGAGGAGATCCGCAAACATGACCATGTTTGAGCCTAACTGTCCGAGGCCGTGAACCCCAAACTAATTAGCGTACAGGTGGCTTACGTGGAACAAGATCAGGTATGGTACCTCGATACGCTAGTTACCGAAAGACGAGCTCCTTGGGGACTGGGTAGTATCTCGCACCGGGGTGCGTCTAGCACCGATTACATCTATGATGACAGCGCTGGCGAGGGTACCTATGCCTATGTAGTGGATACCGGCATCTTGGCTACACATAATGAGTTTGGTGGTCGTGCTAGCCTAGCATACAATGCTGCAGGGGGTGAACACGTTGATGGTGTTGGACACGGCACACATGTAGCAGGGACCATTGGCGGCAAAACATACGGTGTTTCGAAAAACGCTCACCTACTCTCCGTGAAGGTGTTTGTGGGTGAATCAAGCTCGACATCGGTCATTCTGGATGGCTTCAATTGGGCAGCCAATGATATTGTGAGCAAGAATCGGACCAGCAAGGCAGCGATCAATATGAGTCTTGGTAATGTGGCCCTCCCTGGTAGCTGAATGTTGCTAACCATGAGGTAGGTGGAGGATACTCCTATGCTTTCAATAATGCAGTTGAGAATGCTTTTGACGAGGGTGTACTCTCTTGTGTTGCCGCTGGAAATGAGAATGTACGCTCTGTTAGACTGCCCAACATTCGGAGAAAGTTTCACTAATGCCTTGCAGAGAGATGCAGCACGGACTAGCCCGGCTTCTGCACCCGATGCTGTCACTGTTGCCGCTATTAGCAGAAGCAATGCCCGTGCCTCATTTTCAAACTATGGGTCCGTAGTTGACATTTTTGCTCCTGGAGAGCAAGTCCTTTCTGCGTGGATCGGTTCCAACTCGGCTACCAACACCATATCCGGTACGTCCATGGCCACGCCTCATGTGACAGGTTTGGTCATTTATTTGATGGGCTTGCGGAACCTGGCTACCCCTGCGGCCGCAACGGCAGAGCTCAAGAGACTGGCTACGCGGAATGCTGTCACAAATGTTGCCGGTAGCCCCAATCTACTGGCCTACAATGGAAATAGCGGCGTGTCAAACGGGGGTGATAATGATGGTAATGAGGACTAGGTGCGTGATAGGAGCAGATATGGTTTAGAATAGTGGGTCAGGAAGTAGACTAGTTTTATATGCGAAATAAAATGTGTCTGGAAATGCCTAGCTCAATCTTGTAATATCCGCAATTCGACTTTTGCCGACACCACAAAGAGGTTGTGCATGAGGCTTTACCCAGCCAACCTCCCGATGCTGAACCAAGCTCATCGATTGGATATGTGAAAGTTTGACACATGCGAAAAGCCGCTGCCCTTTACCTCCCGACGTGGTACCGGACCGAAGGCAGACACAGACCACGGAGTGCTATACCGCACAGACGACCTGTACTTCCAACTGAGAAAAGCAATTTCACAGACCGCTGCAGCATCGTCAGTATGATAGGCTTCTACCCATTGACCATCACTGGCGACATCCCGACTGAATCTAGATCAAGGACATCAACCGCTTCCCCAGACAGGTCAGGCCTAACCCCATAATGAGCCGGTGACTGTGTAACCCAGTCATAATTCGTTTGTTTTTAGTCTCCTTTGTTTGCTAGTTAATGTGTACTACTCTAGAGCTTGTGCTCCTGGGAGCTAACATTGAAGACAGACTTTTGTATATAGCTGCATCCCAAGTCCGGCTGTATAGGGATCAGTATGCTATTGGTCTTTCCAAATTCTCACAATGAAAACCGTCTCCCGGGTTATCACGGCCCCTGTGGAGAGCGAAAAGGAAACGCTTCTGGCGCTGCTGCCCCAGTATGGCCTTAAGCTTGCCCCGGACGGGGTCCATATACAGTGGGCTCTGGGAAATTGTCGACACCCGCGAAACTGGAGCTTGCGACGCAAGGTCTATGATACTACGCTTATTATTTTCCTGGAATTCTTCACGTATGAGGCCCTCTGGTTTTGATTACACCGAGGCTAATTATTCCAGAACTGCTATCAGCACTGCCGGCGTGGGTAATCAATCTATCATAATTGATGTACATTTGCTGAACATATAGTCAACTGCGGCCAACAATGCTGTGCACGACTTCAATATTTCAAGAACTCTGTCAATTTTTCTCTTCGTTTCCATGTTAGTACTCACCTACTTTCTCCAGTACAACCAGGCTAACTTCTCAGATATCTTATCGGCCAAGCCATTGGGGGTGTCGTATTCCCCCCATACTCTGAAGCATTTGGTCGCAAAAAGCTCTATGTGGCAAGCTCAGCCCTCTACGGCCTATCATGCATCTTGATAGCATCCGTGCCATCTTTGATAGGAGTAGCTATTGGCCGATGTCTCTGTGGCTTTCTGTCTGCCATTCCCACGACTGTTGTAGTGGGTAGCATCGAAGACACCTTCAACTCTCGCGAGCGAGTCTGGGTCATCTGCATTTGGACCATGTTCGCCAACCTGGGACTCGTTGTAGGTCCCATTCTCAGTACCTTTGTTGTGGCCTACACCCACTGGTACACACCCACCTTTCCCCAGTATATGTCAATGTTGTGACTAACACCCCATCAGGAGATGGCTATTCTACATCGCGGCCATGGTAACCGGAATCCTGACCCTGCTACTACTCACTTTGAAGGAATCGCGCCCCTCTCTCCTCCTCGCCCGTGAAGTCGGTACTCTCCGCAAAGTCACCAAAATCGACACCCTGGAAGGCCTCAACCCCGACAAAGCTCCCGACATGCGCAGCTTCGTCCGCATCGCGCTCTTCCGCCCTATCCGGCTCCTCTTCACCGAACTTATCGTCTCCACCGTCTCTATTATCAGCGCCGTCGCCATCGCCCTAGTCTACCTCTTCACCGAAGCCCTACCGCCCATCTACGAATCCTTCGGCTTCACCTCAAAGCAAGCCTGCCTCCCCTTCATCGCCATTGGCTTAGGTCTCACCCTCGGCCTCCTCACCCGCTGTCTCGACCTCCACATCATTGCCCACCACCGAGCTCAGGGCCGACCACTCCTCCCAGAAGACAAACTGACCGGATTCTGGATCGGTGCACCAATTCTCGCTGCGGCATTGTGGCTTTTCGCTTGGACTATCCCGCCAGCTGTCACGAATCTCCCTTGGCTTGTGTCGGTCGCAGCTCTTGTGCTGGCTGGGTATAGTCTCAATGAGATGGACTACGTGCTGGGCGGGTATCTGACGGATAGTTACCTCAGCTATGCGGCGAGTGGTCTGGCTGCATTGAGTCTGGTGAGGGCGCTATTGTCTGCTGCGTTACCGCTGATCTCGGAGCCTATGTTGGATCGCCTCGGGGCCAATTTTAGTGTTTCGGTGTTGGCGGCGGTTGCAACGGTGTTTTGTGTCGTGCCGCCGTTGTTTTCGAGGTACGGGAGGGGGATTAGAGCTAGAAGTGCGTTTGCGAGGTTTAGTTTGACTGTGTATCGTGAGTATAGCGTTGATGAGGAGGGATATTAGAGTAACAGGGATTTGAGATGTGAATGAGTGGTGATGGAGTGAGGGGACAAAAGTCTTGCTTGATTGATGGAAGATTGACAATTTTACGATTTCATCAGTACTGCCATTTGCTATTTGTAAGTATGTCTGTCACCGGGCTGGACAGATACAACACATTGTTTTCAGTCTAGTGCCTAGTGCGTCGACATATCATATATTAAGTTAGGGCTAAGTTCACGAGGTGGATATAGCATCGGAAATGAGACGACAGGATGCACAGATGGCTGGAAGGAAAAAACAATCGTGGCAATTATTCCCAGATTAACTGTCAGTCTGAGCAACTTCGTTATCCTGTGTGGCTTGCAGTGAGGACAGTTATCATCCCAGTTTCAACCTCTGTAGTAGTAAAATCAATGGGAAAGGGGTCCATCCGATCCACCATCCAAGGTACCCCGGGTACACAACTACCTATCTAGGAATTTAGATATCCGAATCTAAACTTGGATTCAATCCCGGCGTTAGCTATTCATCCTTCCGTCTATTCTTATCTAAATGCCAGAACTGTGGCTCGGATTTCACGAATCAGAAACTGAAAATTAGTCCGGTCTAACCTCCATCTCGGATCCTCTCAGTCAGGCGCCGCAAATCAAGACTTTCCTTATTTAGACTTGGCAATAATAAGCACTAACATACTCTTACGCTATACCCTTTTCTGATCCAACTCAGATAATCTGATTGGCCAGCTCGCTAATGACATCATAGGGCTAGAGGCTAGACTGTATCGGGAGTAGTTGGACGTTCTGGCTCAGAAGGAATGTTCGGAGATACTTTAGTAGAGACTGTGATGCTTGAGGTGGTAGAGATATAAATACTACTGGGTTAGGGGGGAGACTATGAACGTGAAAAAAAGAGTCAAAAGTTCAATCCTTCTTTTTCTGCTTTTTTGTCGCTCTCTACATTCAGAATTGCATTCTGTCGCTCTTTATATCACATCATACTCTCTTTTTTTGCATTTACCTCTCATAATAACTACCAGCGTGCTTTCAATTTCTATCTCTCAGTTGGGACAATCGACTCATTAATTGACGCACTCTGCCCAACTCATAATCAAAGTAAGACAGACCAAACATATATTCTCACATGATCTAATTGTTTCCCGCTGCAGCACCGCCACCGACACTCTTTTACTGTACCGAAGTACCACGCAACAAAAAACCAAATTCAATTATCGATCATGGCATACATTGGCGACGCGGCGGTCATCTTTTTTGTCATTCTCGGCTGTGTAATGCTGACTCTATCCGGCTACTCCACTCACTACCTCATGACCAATGGGTTTTACGGCTTAGAGCGGGACTTTGATCCCACCGCAGAGCAGAGAGTGTATATGCGGCAGCTGAGACTAAGGGACCTGCATTGGATGGCGAGGGATAACAGGGTTAAAACCGAGGACAGTCAGTCGGCTGTTTAAGGATACCATCTATATCATCATCGGAGTTATGGGAGTGTGGGCTGTGCTTTGGAGCATGGGATGGCGTCTAGGGTCGTTATTGAGATCATGTGTGTGATAGAACTTCTTCAGGTTCTCCGTTGTCTATACCTGGTTCGTTTCGTTGTACATGTGTCCGTTTAGACTATATTACTTGCCATAGAGATTCTAAAGCATACAATGCCATAAAGATAATATTTTCTCTTACGTATTAGCGAGCAGTCCCAACCATCAAACTGCCGATCCGTCAGCCCCAATACCCGCAAAAGCTCATCACGAATCAGCTCCGGGGCCATATAATGCACATTATGCGTCATGGCTTTCCTCTGCGGGTAGACAAACCGACTCTGACTCGACAATCCAAGATGAGCCCTCTGAATCTCCTCATCAATTCTTTCAATAGTCTCTAGCCGCGCAGAAAGATTTTTCCTCACCTCCACAGGATTATACAGATTTACAATCCCAAACCCCAAAACTTTGAAAATCCACCGATCGAATTCCAAACACCACGCTCAATCGTTCATCACCCAGCGCTTGAAACCCAAGCGGCAATCCAGCATTAACCTCTCCCATACTATTTGCTACAAACTTCTCCATACGAAACATATTCATTACTTTTCTCATTCTCTCTAATCCTCTCATACTTCTCTGCTGAGAATACATGATTTATATCTAACCTTACAACTACAACAATCACCACCCCACCCAACAAACTAAACCATCCCCGCTGTGGCGGATTAGGTTCTCTCCAAGAATCAACGATCACCATCCCCGCCAATTTCGACTTGGTATGCATGCGAAAATCCCGGAACAAGATACCGCCGTATGACTGCCCAACTAGTACATAGGGTGGCTTGGTCCCTGCTACCTCCATTATTCGAGACAGTTCATACACGCGGTTCTGGGCTGTAGGTTCGCGCGGAGACACATCGCTTAGGCCGTATCCTGCGCGGTCCTAGGTATATACACAGGCGTGTTCGGCGATAAGGCGTTGCACTACGACTCAGACGTTGTTGATTGTTTGTCGTGCGGGGCCAGAGGCGGAGAGGTACATGTGAACGCCATCTATGGTGATGTGACCGGAATGGGTGCCGGACAGCCACAGGGATGGTGAGGATAAGGTTGTGATGAAGTGATGGATAGGCCAGGGTTGGAGGTCGTGAGAGCTAGTAGGGAAATGATGACTACGTGGATGGGAGTCTGTGGGAGGACTTGAGATGGTGTGTGATAGAATTGTGTAGTGTAGATAGGGATGTTGGTTGCGATTGGTCTTAGGAGGAGTCTAGCGCTGACCATGTATCAACGGGTGCGGTGTTCTGTGGTTAAGTGCCAAACTAGGGTGGGAGTTCATGCCTAGGGCTGATCCACTCGGAATTTGAACTGGGCTGCGAGAGCCACTAGCCTCAAGACGGCTCCTATTTGATTTGTTGCAGTCGGACCCTCAATGTCCTGCTTCTTTAGCTTTTCGGCGCAACTTGTACATAGCACATACATTGGAGGTTTCCCCACAAAGAAAGTCTGTTTGCTAATTGTTAAGCCACTCTTATTACCTTGGTGTCCGTCCATCTAAACTGTCTGCTGACTCACAGCCCGGACTCATTTAGAACTGACTTTACAGGGATTGATGGGGTTGGATAGTCAATCTTCGTATATACACACGCATACGCAGAAAGTTAACGTTTAGGGAGTCTGCTTGTTTCGATACCAGAATACTTCGATAAATTAGACTGGTTAATGTCGTGCATTGGTGGAGTTACACTGGTGGCCGACCATGTACCGCTGGGCTGAACTGTGTCCAAAACAGGGAAACAAGATGAAAAAGAAAAACCTTCAAGCGTCTTGACCCTGCAACACGACTTCTAAACCCAACTGACTTCCAACCCGCTGATATGCGCTCTAGCGCCACCCCGTGACCTAGCAGGGCGACTGATGCAGTGCGTAGCTGCGAGCTGAAACTGAAGCTGAACGTGACTGCAGGAATCTGGGTCCCTGGGAGATGCAGATCGTAGATCAGGTACCATTGCGGTAAATGATCTACAGTGATCAATATATTTCTTATTTTGCAATATGACCAACTAGCAAATAACACAGCTGCGGTATGCACAATCATGCAAGTAGTTGATCATATGAGTGCGATTAGATTAACTAGACGCAATAATCAATATTATCAGAATCTGAGAGGCGATTAATTGCCGACACGAGATTTGGATGACCTGGCCACGCCACCTTTGCTAGATCTAACTGTTTTCAAGGCATCCTGATAAAAACGATTTATCCGACCTTGTCGCTTTCTGTGGTGTTTCGGCAGCCAAAAATCATGTCTTCCAAGTCAGAGGTCGCGATAGGAATCAGTCATGGCGGGACTGAACAGTCCCATGCTCATAAAGGCCAAGGAACAAGCACAGATCCCTTCATCGTGGAGTTCAAAAGAGATGATCCAGAGAACCCTATGAATTGGTCGGCCTCGAGAAAATGGTCCATCGCTTTCATTGTGACCTCTTCAGTGTTTGCCGTTACGTTCACGTCCTCCGCGTATTCCGACTCCAGCGATGAAATAATTAGAGATTACAATGTCAGCACGGAGGTCTTTTCTGTGGGGATAAGCCTCTTTATATTGGGATTTGCTGTCGGGCCGGCAGTATGGGCACCTCTGGTGAGTGTTTGTCATAGATGCATATCACATAGAATAACAAGCTGATAATACTTCTCAGTAAGCTTCCCTCATTAGTCATGTACCTACCCTGTATTGACAATTCTTCAAATATTAGATCAGAACTCTACGGCAGGAAGATCTTCTGGATAATCTCCCACATCGGCATGGTGGCGTTTATCGGAGGCACTGCCGGAAGCCGCAACATAACCACCCTACTTGTCCTACGATTCTTCAGCGGCACCTTTGGAGGATCACCATTAGTCAACGCAGGGGGCGCTATCGCAGATATCTTCCCCCCAGTGCAGCGAGGGCTAGCGATGATAATTTACTCCTTCGCACCCTTACTAGGGCCGCTCATCGGCCCCATTATTAGCGGATTCATATCTGAGAACGTGGGCTGGCGATGGGTGCAGGGGATGTGCTGTATCTTCGTAGGTGTGATCGGCATCATCGGCACCATTTTCGTCCCAGAAACATACGGCCCAGTACTGCTACTCCAAAAGGCGAAGCGTCTAACCAAATCCACCGGGAAAGTCCACGTTAGTATCCTCGAGCGTGACCAGGGCAAGAAGAAGCCCTCCGAAGTCTTCCAAAGAGCCTTAATCCGACCATGGGTCCTCCTTATGCATGAACCAATCGTGACCGTCGCTTCCATCTACATAGCCTTAGGTTACGGAACGACCTACATGTTCATGGGCGCCATGCCAATCGTATACAACGAAGACCGTGGCTGGTCTGAAGGGATTGGCGGTCTTGCATTCCTAGGCCTTGCAATAGGAGAGATCCTAGGACTAGTGTACGCTGGCTACGACTACCACAGACGATACATGAAACTATACAATACCGGCAAGGCAACGCCGGAATCCCGCCTCCCCACAGCCATTGTGGGTTCTATCGCCTTGCCGATCGGTATCTTCGGCTTTGCGTGGACTAATTTTCCGAGCATTCATTGGTCCGCGAGCATCATTCTCTCGGCGCCGTTTGGCTTCGGGTGCATCCTCACTAGCTTGTCGATCACGAATTATCTTGTCGATTCGTATACTATCTATGCGGCAACTGCGCTGGCGGCTCTGGCTATTGTTCGGTCGACCGGTGGAGCGGTGTTTCCCTTGTTCACGAATCAGATGTACCATAATCTGGGGATTCATTGGGCTTCTTGTGTGCCAGGGTTTCTGACCGTGGCTTGTATCCCGTTTCCTATTGTCATGTATCGCTATGGTGAGGTGCTGAGGATGAAGTGCAAGTATACATTTGAGGCGGCGGAGTTGATGCGGAGGATGCAGAAACAGCAAGACTTTGGTCAGGTTGAGAGTGGGGAGAGAGTTGATGAGGCGGAGTCTGCTTGAGACGAAGAGTCGTGGAAATGATGTATATAGATGGTGTCATAGATGTTGTCCACTAAAAGAAAATAAACCAACCCAATTTCAATGCCGTATGTTGTAAAGGCAATGCAGCCTTTATCAGGCAGTAGTTTGACTCATCCCCCGTGCGTTAACTATTCTTTTGCCTTGATTGTGCTTTACTGCAAGATATTCTCCTTGGTTCTTTCGGCATCAGCAACGCTTTATTGGGCTTTAATTTTGAGCTTATCTGGAGATTTTCAGTCAGTAAAAAAAAAATCAAACTTCGAAGGCCATATCAGTTAGTAATATTCACAACATTTGCACGGATGCTATGCCGTATGCAAGTCAGATGGGCAAGATAGTCCACTTATGTGACGGAGAATTCATGGTGTAGAACACTCTCAGCTATCTGGATCTTCCTTCAGCTTCAACTACCAATCAATGTCCTTCACAGCCAATTTTAACACGCTAGAAATCGCCTAGAATTCCTTTAAAATTTATAGGACCTTGACAACCAAAACAAGAGTGGGTACGCCTACAAACGGAAAATGTTCGCCCGATAACTCCGAAATATGTTATATCCGAGCCCACCGAAAACAGCCAGGAGGCATGCAAAGGGGGCTCGGCATTTGCAGCAAGACCACTAAAAGTCGTGCCAAACTCCCCACTTATCACTACACCCAGCACTCACCCAGCACCATTCCGGCCAAACCCATCCACCCTTTAAACAACCCCCCTACCATCGGACCCTCCGTTCGGACTATCCGACGCCACCCCCGTGCATATCGGAGAAAATCTACCGGACAGCATGCCGAAACCCCGAAGCGGCGAATCAGAGAGAAGAAAAAAAAAGGTGTAGGAATTTCGTCACCCCCTCGAAACAACACCAAATGGGAGAAAATATCTGAAGCCGAGAAGGAGAATAAGGGTGCGTTGCAGCCTTAGCATCTCAGCCTTTATCTCAGCCCAGAAATGACTGTCGTTCCACCACCGCCGCTACCAGCATCATCTCGACCAGCAGATGCTGAAAAGGGCAAGGTCGAACATGCAGGCGGCGGCCCCGATCCTAACCTAGTGAAATGGGAGGAAAACGACCCCGAGAACCCACATAACTTTTCGACGGCGTACAAATGTTGGATCACGTTTCAGCTAGGATTATTGGCGTTGAGCGCCAGTCTAGGATCGAGTATTATCTCTCCGGCGGAGACCGAGCTCAAGGCTTATTTGAACATTGGGACGGAAGTTAGTATTCTTCCGGTGTCCCTTTATATGTATGTAATATATCCCAATCATTGAATCGAATCCCGGTATAAGCTTCCTTCCAACAGCTACTAACGAGCATAACAGTCTTGGCTTCGCCTTCGGTCCTCTATGCTGGGCACCCATTTCCGAACTCTTCGGCCGGCGGTGGTCGATGCTGCCGGCGGTATTCGTCCTCGGACTATTCAGCATCGGCACCGCAACCAGCAAAAACACAGCTTCAGTTCTCATCACCCGGTACTTCGCGGGCCTATTCGGCTCCGCACCAGTTAGTAATGTCTCCGCTGCACTCGGTGACATCTTCCACATGAAGGCGCGCGGCATCGCCAGCACCTCGTACGCCATTTGCGTCGTCGGCGGCCCAACCATGGGGCCTATAATTGGCGCCGCGCTTGTCTCGAACCCTCACTTAGGGTGGCGCTGGACTGAGTACATTGAGGCTATCATCGTGTTCTTCATCTTCGGCATCACTTTCTTCTGTCTGCCGGAGGTATACGGCCCCGTGCTGCTACACCGCAAGGCAGAGCGTATGCGCAAGGAGACCGGGAATGAGGACCTATACCACCCGCACGAACACATCAAGGTGGACGTGCATAGTATCGTCACGAAGCATTTCTCGCGTCCGCTGGTCATGCTTGTCACTGAGCCGATGGTCACAGTGATCGCGCTGTATGCGTCGTTTACGTATGCGTTGCTGTATCTCACCCTTGAGGTATTTCCGATTGTTTTTGATGATATCCGCCAATGGAAGCCCGTTGTTGCTACGCTGCCATTCATCGGTCTGTTCGTCGGTGTTCTGCTCTCGTCGGCGTTCATCATCTTCATCGGCCAGCCATACTACATCCGCAAGTGGGAGGAAGGTGGCGGCAAGCCTGTCCCCGAGGCGCGTCTGATGCCCATGGCTGTTGGCGGGTTCTTGTTCGCCGGTGGTCTGTTCTGGTTTGGGTGGACGGCTGAGCCGAAGTATTCGTGGGGATTGCCGGTTGTGGCGGCAATGGTGTTTGGATGTGGGTTTTGTATTATCTTTGGCCAGTGTATAAATTTCCTGGTTGATACGTACGGGCCCTATGCGGCGTCGGCGACGGCTTCGAATACTTTCCTGCGGAGTGTGTTGGCCGCGGCGTTTCCACTGTTCTCGCAGCCCATGTTTCGCAATTTGGGGGTTGGGCCGGCAATGTCCATTTTGGGGGGTGTTGCGGCGGCGGCCATTCCGGTGCCGTTTTTGTTTATGATTTATGGGGTTAGGTTGAGGAAGATGTCGAGGTTTGCGCCGTTTAAGGGGTAGTGGATGATAGGAGTGAGTGTGTATTATAGAGTATAGATCTAATAAAATTAGATATAGAGAGATATAATATTGAAAAGGATGTGTTGATGATAATCAAGGGTGTTGTAAAGTAAAGGTGTTCCCCATATATGGCATGTCCCAGAACAGGTCACCCAGGATCGATGTATCTAGATCAAAAGGCTGCAATGAATCAGACAATTCATCATTTAGTGGCAAGCCGGTCCCATCATTATCCAAGGGAGCAATCCTTTCCACCAGCACGCCGCACTTTGACAGACAATCGTCACCCAGATCCCATCCAGTAAGCTGCCGATGTGACTGCAGTGTAGCGATCATTTCTTTAGCCAACTCCAAGGGTGGATTTTTGCCGCGTTCGACAGAGTGCGATCTAACTCTGCGGAGCCCACTCCGCAGAAGAAATGTTGTCGCAGATGTTAGCGAGTACGCCTGCACCGGGATCCAAAACCCACGTAGCTAATGCTCGTCTAGCTCCCTTACGAGATGCACTATCTCTTCCGCTACACGCTCGACTTGCGTGAACGAAACAGAGGAAGAGGTGCTGTCATTCATATTATCAATATTAGAAGTCTCGGTCTGATCGTCGTCCAGGTCGAGTGCGATTCGTCGGAGCAGAAGCTTCACGGATAAGTATGCCAGGCGCAGGTTTGCCGCGCCAGGGGTGATCAAGTCGGTTCCGCGGTGGATAATATGGCGGGTCTTGGTGTCGAGGGAATCTTCCCAGTTGGTGAGGAGGTGTGAAAGGGAACTGATTGTCTTCCTCACGAGACTGGAGACGTGATAGATATATTCTAGGTATTGACCCAGCACTTCGGTTAGTGTCGTGAAAGCAATGAATATTGAGGCTGCAGCTTCATGAGATGGCATTCCGGGAGAAGAGAGGACATAGTCCATGGTTGGAAATGGGACGTCGTATTGGGTGCGATGAATCTGGAGCGGTGTTCCGTAGGCGAGGCTGCACCTAGTAAATGTTAGCGTGGAAGAGAGAAGTAGAAAAGCGGTATATCCTACCATCGATCGTGAATCACGACCAACCACCAGACGCGGATGCGGAATCCCTTCTCGAGGGCAGAGATATTCCACTGGGAGGGATCTCGATTCAAACCCAAGGCATTAGATAGGGCTACCGCTGTCCCTACCATACCCCCATTGCCAAAGATCGAGGTGCTTGGTCTGCCGCAGACATTCAGCAGCATCGCCAGTACAGTTGAAATACCAGGACACAGAAACAACTCGGAATGAAGAGCCTCGTTAGCTTGGTTCCAGATATAGCGGATGTCGGGTGTGCGAGTTGAACGCAGTTGTGGCGAATTGTCCCAGTATATTAGCGAGTTGGCATATAGATTGCAGAGGAGAGCTGGGGATATTTCTTCTTTGCGAGTGCAGTAAGCATTCATGAACGACGCCTCGTCAAACACAGGGAAGCATATATTTGCGCATTCGAAGAACCTGGAGGCACAACACTCAGTAAGTAGAAATCTCATGTCAATGATCATTTGCGATGACTTACAGTCCCACAACATCCTTCGTCGCGGGCTCGAGGTATTTTTCGATGAGCTCGCATTTTATGGACGGGAGAGATTGATTTGAGTACACCCCTAACGGACGCCTTGGAATGGTATTGAACAGTACCTGCTGCATGAGTCGACTGGATTTTGAACTAGTGTGCATCAAGCCTGGTCTTCGATTATCCGGAACTGTGAACAGATATCCTTCCAATATACTACTGTCATCGGCAACAACTGGACTGACGACATGGGAGCTGTCGTCTCCAGTATCACCAACCACATCCATGAGACTTTCAATCCTGCCATATGAATATGCTGTGGGAATATGGGTTGGGTGGTGATGTCTCGTCAGTTGTGGTGTGTCCGAACGTTGGCTGGTCCTGGGTGACGGGAGTACGACCTGAGGGGTGGAAGGTCGTTCAACTCGGGCTGTCTTGGGTGCAATCCGCTGCAGGTTGGCGGTTCGCTTCCTTTGCGCAGGCTTGTCAGCTGAAGGAAAGAGGCACTCGGTTGCATGAGCCAGACACATCATGCATGTCGCCGAAGAGTCTCTGGTGCGGCATCGCGACTTGCGTTTTCGGCAAGGCAAACATGCGGGATGCGCATGAGACCGATAGGGTCTGCCTGAGCTGCTACCATTCTCCTTCATTTTCTTAAGTATGATCAGAATGCCTTCTACTGGATATTTGATCCGTGGATTCAAAGAACAAGGAGGGAGTGTCTCCGATAAAGCGAAGTATTTCGTGGCCGCGGGGAACCTTCGCCCGCGGGCAACTCAGCCAATTAGAGTAGTTAGATAGCAGAACCCTATACCCGCGGCCACTCTGAGGGGAACTAGTACTTATAGCCAAGGAGGCCTGGATTAACATGGAAAACAGGTTCAGATTGAGGAACATAATTATTGATATTATTATCGAAGGAAAAGCACTCGCTATCGAACAATATGACAAGCCCCAATACCACCGCCGCCTTCTTCGCCAAAGCCAACAAGTACCTCATATCCACAGGAGTCCCTATCTCTCCAGTCATCATCACCGAAGCCAAAGGCACCTGGTTATATGACACCAACAACCGTCGCGTCCTCGACTTTACGTCAGGCCAGATGAGCTCACTGCTCGGTCATTCCCATCCTGAGATCGTCACCACAATCCAGGAATACGCCGCCAAGCTAGACCACCTCCTCAGCAACATGATCACCCACCCAGTAGTGGACCTAGCTGAGCGTCTCGCCCGATTCCTCCCTCCGCCCCTCGAAAAGTCCTTCTTCCTAAACACCGGCTCCGAGTCTATTGAAGCTGCCATTAAAATGGCCAAAGCGTACACTGGAAAATTCGAAGTTGTCGCCTTCAGCGCTAGTTACCACGGCCTTACCCAGGGCTCAGGATCAGCCACGTATTCCACGGGCAGGAAATGCGGTAGTCCATGCATGCCAGGCCAGCTTGCCTTTCCCGCTCCGTATGCATACCGCTCGCCTTTTCGCAAGGCGGACGGGACGTATGATTGGGAGACGGAGCTGATGTTTGGTTGGTCCATGATTGATCGGCAGAGTGTGGGGTCGCTGGCTGCGTTTGTCATGGAGCCTATTTTGTCGACTGGGGGGATTTTGGAGCTCCCCGATGCATATTTGCAACGCATGGCGATTGAGTGCAAGAAGCGCGGCATGTTGCTAATCATGGACGAGGCGCAGACAGGAGTCGGTCGCACTGGCCACATGTTTGCATTCGAGCAGGCTGGAATAGTCCCGGATATTCTAGCTTTGTCAAAGACTCTGGGATGTGGGCTTCCTTTGGCATCGGTAAGTACGACGGCTGAGATTGCTCAGGAGTGCGCGGATGCTGGGTTTCTTTGGTTGACGACACACTTAAATGATCCCCTTACTGCGGCGGTGGGAAATAAGGTGTTAGAGATTGTGGAGCGAGAGGATATCTGCCGGAGAGCGAGGGAGCGTGGTGGGCAGTTGAGGGAAGGCCTGCTAAAGCTCCAGAAAAAGTACTGGTGTATTGGGGATGTACGCGGTCGGGGCCTTTTGCAGGGAATCGAGATCATATCCAATCGGAGTACTCAGGCTCCTGGGCCGGAGCTAGGTCAGTTGGTGTCAGACAGAGCCATGGCGTGTGGGCTGTCGTGTAATGTTGTTAACCTTCCGGGGATGGGAGGAGTATTCCGTCTGGCGCCGCCAGTGACGGTGTCATCGCAAGAAATTGAGGAGGGCCTGAGGATTCTGGATGAGGCATTTTCCTATGTAGTTGGCAAGAGTGAAGGTGTTTAGGAGGTGAGCTTGATCAGTTATATGAATGTTTTCTGCAAGAATTTCACACCCAGCATGTTGCGTCAGGCGTAGCCCTCATTAAACAGCGCCGGATTAGAAAATGCCGATATAACGGCAGATTCATAACTTGGTGGCTTTGAAGAACTGTCCAACTGGCAATAACTTGGAGGTTCCAAGAGAACTTCTGTGTCATCACCAGGTACTCCAAATGCAATTTCATCGGGAGTTCGGTCCATAACGTGATTATTGTAGCTCGGCAGTGGCTGATCAAACGTCTCATCCATCAATCTGAGGGATTGAATCACGGAGCAAACAAAGGGGTCCTCTAGCAAAGGTGGCAAGGCACATTGAATCGAAATGGGCATATCTAAAAGGACCTATATTGTGGTAAGTAAGATGAACGAACAATGGACCTGGAAATCATACAGCTGAGTGGTGACCATCGGGGTTTAAGAGCTTGACTTGGATGGTGAGCGTGTGCTCGACACGAAGAAAATTAGTAGAGATGCTCTGTAGACATTCTTTTGGATCACTCGGCAGGTGAAGGAAGCGGGTTGTAGAATACCAGCAACCTTCATTATCGGATGTTATTCTGTATTCGTCTTCATCCCAACCTCTGGGATAATAGTCGTCCTTGACTATTATACGGGTCCTGTGGTTGGAAACAGGCTGTTGCAAGGCTCTGTGTGTCTCTTCGACCTTAGTGTGGATGGTTGCTACCTCGAGCCTTTTGCATGAAGGAATAAACTCAAACTTGATGGGGACAACACTCCCGAAGATATAGGCCTGAGATGGTAGTGAAACGCGATAGATTATCTTCTGCGGCCATATTTCTTGCATTATCTATTGAAATTAGCCTTTTAATTGAGACCTCACAAGGCAATATTGCATTATATCTCACCTTCGGCTCGGGTAGCAAAAGTGATCTGTACATCCGACGCACCCTGACCCGGGTGTTAGCATGGATACGACGTCCGCCGACTGTGCTGATCATAGCTTTCAGCTGATATCTGGCATGACAGTCGCCGAGGCCCTCAATAGTGTCTGGTGTGCTGTTGGATAGGCAAAAGGTGAATGGGAACTCGTGGTTTCCAGCTGGTAGAGTAGTTGGTGATGGAGTCCCGGGATAAGGTAGAAAGCTCCAGGTTTGATACATGAATAGCCGCTCCAAGGACGGCATATGATGGTGAGCTCCCTGGGGTTCCGAAAAACTCTGCCAGCTATTCACATAATCAGTTAGTTTTAGTCACACAGAAGGAGTGATAGTCGTACTTCATGTAACGCCGCCCTTCAAAGTGCAGCTTGATATCCTTGACACAGAGTGATTGGTTGAGACATAACACGACCTTTCCTGTAACATGGCAGTATCCTGTTGACGATGAGTCTCCAGGAAGCCATATTATATCACTATCAAGCCTGTTCCACGTCAGTATAACGACCCTTGTTGGGTGTAAATGCTCGCCGTTACCTGATACCAAAGCATGTCGGCGCATTCTCAGGCGGAGATGCTGCTCGGAAGAGGCTAGTTATTGCCATTGCAAATTTTCGATTTCATAGATACTACTCTTTGCGTATGCTGGTTACTGCTGCAAGTAGTCATTTATATCTAAACGATGGTAATTACCCTTTTTGACGATGCCGCCGCAGGAGCGGGTAGGTTTCCTCTTTCGGAAATACCGGTATGTTGTTTTAGGAAATCGATTCGATCCAGACACGCCCTGTTGATGATAGCAAGTCCTGTGATCATTCCAAGTAGTCTTTATTGAAGAATAGATTCCTTCATGACCGACGCCTTGCCCAAATTGACACCGGTGTTGCTCTAGGTTGTGAGGTTGTCGCCTCTCAGAAGGTCGGGTTGCGGCGAAAGCCACTCGGTTCTCTCATGTTAAGATGACTATGACATGATTACAATAACACAAATAGCCTATGCTGTATGGGTCATATTTCTATCACCGCGGAATTGAATGGGCAAGTAAAGAATATATCTGACTATCTAGCTACCTAGGCTGCACGTCGCTCTCTACCACTGATCAGATATGCAGCAGTATGAGTCTCAATTAACGGATCAAAAAGAAATTTTCGGTACGGCTTACGACGATAACGAATAAACCTACGATCCTTTGTGAGCGAAACAAGAATGAGAAAGTGTTGACGCCATAGTACGTTTCTGTTGCGAAGCTTTCAGAGAACGGCCTCTTGGCCTGGACAAACACCTGTGCTGCTGGAGGACCGAGCAATGACGGTAAAGAGAGCTCGTTATAGTGAGGAGCAGTTGAGAGACTCGATGCCGCGTAAGAGGGTTCGAAAGTTCATCGAAAGTGAATTCCTTTGGCATGCGCTGTACTCTTATTAGAGAGGTAACGGACGATCTGGGTACTGTAGACAGTTATGGCTTGCCATACCTGGTCTTTTGCCTAGGTGAGGGCCGAGAATCCCATGGAGAGTGTCAACAATCTCATGGCTGTTCTCAACAACGGCGGGATCTTCAGGAAGGGGCTTGTTAGTATATTCTTCTTCAGCTATAGCATACTTACAGAGGAAAGAAAAAAAATTTAATTCTAGAGGTGGATGGGACTGATAGCAGGAATGTCTTCTGAGCTGGCAAGGCGGTCATATAGCTCAAATGAGATAAATCAGCGAGGGACTGTGGAACTTAGTAAATTGCTATTGCTAGAACGATCTAAATTTTAAGATCTCTCGTGGCCAATAATCAATCTATGTATGTCGGGTAATCTTTGACATATTTTTCTTTAGATGTAACTCTGATGCGTCGGTGGCTGAATCTGATAAAGATGAAATACGAGGAAGATGGGAGGCCAATTATTACCCAATCTGGGGAGTGGATGACAATGTAGAATCGTCAAGAGAAGCACCTAGAGTCCTTGGATCGTCTGAGATTGATACCTACGCATATTCGTGTTTACGAAATTTGAGTATGTTGGGGGGGGAGCGGACATAGATTCATTCGAATATAGAAACACAGATAAATAGTAACCCATGCTAGGCGGAGATACTTACAGGTTATTGGACATGTCACTTTTCACAGTACTTTCCATGAGTAAGCGCCCGTCTAATGCCTAAAGTAAGTAATTCTTTCATTCTTTCATAATATCGTTTCCGGTAAACTACTAACTACCCCATCATCCCCCCAGCCCTCGCAACCTTCCTCGCTCGCTGCTGTCGACGATTATGATTCGCCCGACTAGCTTTATTCTCCTCTTTCCTCTGCCGCGCAACAGCAGGGTTACTATTCCCAGGAGTACTACCCTGCTGGCCTGCACCACGTCCCCGACCTCTCCCACCGCGTCCGCGTCCTCCTCTTCCTCTTGAGCTGTTGCTCCCACCTGCCTCACTCTCGTCGTCATCTTCCGTTCCAGCACCAGGTCTCCGATACGACGTAGCCGGCAACTCAGGCTGATTCAACCCCCCACCATCAGCAGCACCAAAAGCCATCTTATCCTCCAATCTAGCCATCCGTTTCGGATCCCTCGACAACATGACTGCCCACCCCTCGATCGCTTCATCCGTCATGCCGGTTTCGCGCTTAAGCGAAGCGCGGGGCTGTGAGCGTCTTGTGGCAGAGTCGCGCGCAAACAGGGCCGGAAGAGATTTATATGTGCGGTAGAGGGAGAGTTCTGCCTCTTGTTGTTGCTCTGCTGCGGCCTTGGCATCGTCGGTGGTGGTGTCATCAATGGTTCCGCCGACGTCGGCGATGTCGTAGGTATCGTCGCGTTCGTCGTCGTCGGAGTCAAAGGTGGCTAGGGCGGAAAGGATAGCAGCTTTGTTCGCGGAGTGGTGGGTGCGGTCGGCGAGGAGGTCGTCGGCTTGGGTGGTGTTGGTGCGGCGGCCGTGGTGGAGGGCAGACTGGTCAGATAGTTCGGCAAGGTCAACGTCGTTGTCGAATATGTTTTTGCGGGCTGGGAGGGTTGACTCTGTGGGTGGTGGTGTTGAGCGGGGTGGGAGAGGGTCGTGTGGGATGGTTGAGGTTGATGTTGATGTAGGAAGTTGTTCGGATTTGTCGAGGGTGCGGAGCTCAGAGGGGATGGAGTCGTCGAGGAGATGCGAGACGATTGTTTCGGGGTCGTCGTTGTAGTGGTCTAGCAAGCGGGTGATGTAGCCGGAGCCTAGGTCGGGGAAAAGATCTTGGACTTGGGTGATCAAAGACATGCGGTGAATGTGCATGTCTTCGGGTGCGGGGAGATCCGTAGCAGCGCGGCCTTTGCCTTTGTCGAGGAGTCGCTTCTTTTGTTTTTGATGGCGACGGTGGAAGACTTTTGTTTCTTCTTGATAGGTTCGTAGACTGGTGAGGAGGTCTTGGCCTCGTTTTTGGGGGTGGGTGCTGAGATGGCGGTCGAGACGGACTAGGAGGTCTGTACTGCATATAACGTCGGATAGGAGGCTGGGCTCCTTTTTCGTTGTTGAGGATCCGACGCCAGCGCTGGATTTTAGACTGTATAGCTGGTCCAGCAGCGCGGAGAGGTTCAGCTTTGGGCCCTTCAGAAGCGATGCTAGACCAACGTAGACGTTCGCTACGAGGACGCTGCGGATATCCACTCGTTTGTGTGTTTGGTATGCATCGGCGAATGTGTCCAGAAAGTCAGATCCGGTCATGAGCACCTGGCCGCAACCGGGGAGTGCGGACGCCAGGATAGTCAAGAGGCGAATGTCAGAGAGGATAGCCGTAGACTTCGAGGGGTTGAGCGAGGCAAGCTCTCTGATAATCTTCGTCTTGACCTTCTCAAGGCTGGATGTTATTGTATCTTGATGCTTGTTCCAGGCATCAGACAATAGTCGCTTCATGGCAGCGCTCGAAGGGTAGGTGCAACACATGTTCGCAAGGACATGTACATCAAGCAGCTCAGACGGTGTTGCAGAGGCATCCAGAAGGAACCTCCTCGTCAACAAGAAGCAAAGCTTCCGTAATGAACGCGCTTTTAGCCCGGCATGGAAGCCAGATGAGCCATGGGTGGCAGATTGATGATAGAAGGAGGTCAAGAAGGTCACGGCAGTTTCATCGTGGGCGGCAATTTCTTTAAACTGGGAATCAGGACCTTCAATGCGTACTTGCAGAAGCAAGATCCACGCATCTATATAGAGCTCCCATTCGTTGGGTGGTACGGTGCTCTGCACCTCCGGGGGTGGAACCGGTGCCAAAGGAGGTAGTAGTTCCGGCATGACGCAGTGGATGGGCTTTGTCGACCTTCCAAGCTCGGAAAATGTAAAACTGAATTGGGCTATGTATGCTTGAATGTTGGAAGCCGACCACACGCCTGGACCACCCACCAATATCGTCACTGGCGATCCATCAGCCCCTCTGTCGGCTGCAAAATTCAGTGCGGATCCTGACGTCAGGTGACTTGAGCCTCGGCCTCCGCTCTGTTGCGGGGACGGAGATGGCCGCAGTAGTACCTGCATGGAGACAAAGCGGATCTGCACTTTATTTATTGTAAATATGTTTGCAAAGTTAAGGTGATTTTAGAAAAATTTAATATGAATAGGAGATACTATATAACTTACTACTATTGCTAATAGCCAACAGATTCTACTCAAGCGCTGTCTAACACCTAAAATTGAGATGTATACAATGATGTCATCATCCATGCAACAGAAAAACATAATACTACTTACACAGCACTAATGAATGATTTGATTTTCATATACTCTTTACCTTCCAGTGAGTATTATTCACTGAGACAGTTGTCATATATCGGATTTGGCCGACATACTTTGTGTGGCTAAGCATTTGTGGAAACTTTCCTTCCCACATCGGATCTTGGCTTCACTTCAGGGACTTCTAGCTCTTCCTTGACACTCATTGTTTAGCAAACAGCAGCTAGAGGAGGCAAAAGTCCTGTCGCATAACTCCCATAACAAATAATCCCCTCTCTTTAGTAGTCTCTGAGTAACTTCTTTATTGCAAATTTCCATGCCATACCCCCCATCATTATGTAATGGCTCCAAACCAAAGGGTCGACCAGTTGCCCTATACAGCCAACACGGATACTGAGCCGGAACCTTCCAGAAGTAACTGGATGATGTTGTAAGAAGGTTGCATAAAACTTTGCATAGTGACTACGAAAAGGACAATGACTCGAGTCCATCGTGGAGGCCATTGGGCCCAGCTGCAAAGACTCCCTCCGGACCCGAAGTATACCGGATCCGAGGGCCACTCCGGGCATCCCTGTAAAACTACTCCTCTTCCGTAATCGATAGATAATGACATCTGAAACGCGCGAGGGTACTTAGATGCCCCGAGCCTCTCTGAAAATCCAGAATAAGGCCAGACAAATAGTGCCCAGAGATCTTGGCTGGTTCAAGAGTTCGATACACGGCCGCTGGTGTCTTCAATCAGCAGTATGCGCGTTCTCGTAATTGGCGGGACCGGACGATGTGGTAGGCTTGTCATTGACGAGCTGCTGGGACGAGGTAGGCTCCTGCTACTTTATAAAACGTACGATGTGGTGATGAATATGGCTAATATGTCCAAGGCCACCAGGTCACTACCCTAGCCCGAACACCTGATGCGCTGGGTGGTCCACGACCCGGTCTAGATGTTATCCAAGGTTAGTACACGATGAAGTCTTGCTGCTGCTATTGCTTCGATTGAAAAGTGTTCCACGGCTGACATGTCTCAGGCACTCCGATGAACCTAGATGACGTACGAGCCGCGTTCAAAGCAGACAAGCCCGACGTGGTGATTGTAACGCTAAATGCGCCTCGAGCGAGCGATAGTCCGTTTGCTGCAGCCATCTCTCCCCCTCGTTTAATGGCCGACTGCAACGCCAATGTAGTGGCTGCAATGAAAGAGTTTGGGGTCCGCAAGACTGTGATTCTGCAGGCATTCGGGGTGGGAGCATCCTGGGCTAATCTGCACATTCTGCTGCGGCTACTCATGAAGACATCTAATATGTCACATCAGTACGATGATCATAATGAAACAGAAAGGGAAGTCCTGGCCAGCGGGGTCGGTTATGTGTTTGTAAGGCCGTCGCGGCTAGTCGAAACGGAAGAAACTGCCATCAAGGTGTGGCCGGATGACGGCAAGGGAGTTCCCATGATGGCTAGTACGAGTCGAATTAGCGTGGCGCGATATTTGGTCGATGTGGCCGAGAGTGATGAATGGGATAACACGGCTCCAGTTATCACCAACTGAATCGAATCGGGATCGGGACGGGAGGTGGAGATGTTGCGGGGGTGGAGATTGGTGTTGTTTAATCGTTTGTCTGTTTTGCTTGTGGGATTTCTGGGTCAGGGTGGGTATGTATAATTTTGATGATGTGATAATATTCCCGGCAGGTATACGGTATGCCTGGATGTGTAATGATAATGAGGAAATTGAACGAGGCATATAGTATGTGAAATTAGGGGATTGGTTTTCATTTACTACATAAATAATGCAGGCACTGCATATACCTTGATGATGTAAAATGTGGCTGTCCGGAACATTAATTGTTCCATCAGTTACTTGACCACATGATATTAGTGGCTTATCACGGATGAGTCATAATTGAGATCGACACCAGATCCGGCATCGGCGGTGGCGCGAGCCAATCAAGGGGAAGGTAAAAGAAAAGTGCCACTAGCATATGGCACAGAAAATTGCTCGTCGTTGAGTCTCTGTCACTTCCCTCTGCTATCATCCAAGTAACCGGCGTGACAATGGTGAGGCAGCTTGTTTGGCAGCGGGCCACCGCTTCTCAGAGGGTAAGTCGTGCCGTTATCAGCCCGATTGACTCCCTAGCAGCCTGGACTGACCACTCCACTTCCCCGTACTATAGCTGGCCCCGAAGTGCCTCTCTCCGCAACGACTGTTCAGTCGCCGTGGCCTGGCCACGGAGGCTTCTCCGGCAGCCTCCTCCCGCTTGCCTCCCTACCCGAAGATCGTTCAGAACCTCGAAAACGTCCGTCGCGTGCTTGGTCAGGACCGCAACTTGACCCTGGCGGAGAAGATCCTCTACGCCCATCTGGACAACCCCGAGGAGTCCCTTCTGACCGGCACCAACAATGGCCGTGACATTCGCGGCAAGGCCAACTTGAAGTTGAAGCCTGACCGCGTGGCGATGCAGGATGCGTCGGCCCAGATGGCTCTTTTGCAGTTCATGTCTTGCGGTCTCCCCTCGACGGCCGTGCCCGCGAGTATCCACTGCGACCACATGATTGTTGGTGAGCGTGGTGCTGACACTGATCTGCCGGCATCCATCAAGGGTAACAGCGAGGTGTTCGACTTCCTGGAGAGTGCCGCCAAGCGCTATGGAATTGAGTTCTGGCCTCCTGGTGCCGGTATCATTCACCAGAGCGTTCTGGAGAACTACGCTGCCCCGGGTCTGATGATGCTGGGAACTGACAGTCACACCCCCAACGCCGGTGGTCTGGGTGCCATTGCCATTGGTGTCGGTGGTGCGGATGCTGTTGATGCGCTGGTTGACGCCCCTTGGGAGCTCAAGGCGCCCCGCGTCCTGGGTGTGCGTCTGGAGGGCAAGCTCAACGGCTGGGCTGCCCCCAAGGATATCATCCTCCACTTGGCTGGTAAGCTCACCGTGCGTGGTGGAACCGGCTTCATCATTGAGTACCACGGACCTGGCCTGGAGACCCTGAGCTGCACTGGTATGGCCACCATCTGTAACATGGGTGCCGAGGTGGGCGCGACGACCTCCGTGTTCCCCTTCTCCCCCAACCACGTCCCCTACCTGCAGGCGACTCACCGGGCTGATGTTGCCCGTGCCGCCTCTGAGATCGCCGGTTCCGGTCCCAGGAACCTGCTCCGTGCCGACGGTGGTGCAGAGTATGACCAGCTGATCACCATTGATCTGTCGACGCTGGAGCCTCACATCAACGGTCCCTTCACCCCCGACCTCTCTGTTCCCCTGTCTGCTTTCGCCGACACCGTTCGTGAGAAGCAATGGCCCGAGTCCCTTGGAGCGGGTTTGATTGGTAGCTGCACCAACAGTTCCTACGAGGACATGACCCGTGCGGAGAACCTGGTCAAGCAGGCCTCTGCCGCCGGTCTTCAGCCCAAGTCCGACTTCTTCATCACTCCCGGTAGTGAGCAGATTCGCGCCACCCTGGACCGCGATCAGACTCTGTCGACTTTCTCCCAGGCCGGCGGTACCGTGCTGGCCAACGCCTGCGGTCCCTGCATTGGTCAGTGGAAGCGCACGGACGGTGTCCCCAAGGGCGAGGACAACGCCATTCTCACTTCCTACAACCGTAACTTCCCCGGTCGCAACGACGGCAACCGGAGAACCATGAACTTCCTGGCCTCTCCTGAGCTCGTCACCGCCATGGTTTACTCTGGAAGCACCACCTTCAACCCCATGACCGACAGCATTACCACCCCCAGCGGTGAGGAGTTCCGCTTCCAGCCTCCCACGGGCTACGCTCTTCCCAGTGATGGCTTTGCCGATGGCAACCCTGACTTCCAGCCCACTGCCGCTGTGCCCGATCCCTCTTGCGAAGTGATTGTCTCCCCCACCTCGGATCGTCTGGCTCTGCTGGAGCCCTTCGCTCCCTTCCCCAAGGGCGACCTTTCCGGCCTCAAGGTTCTGTACAAGGTCCGTGGCCAGTGCACGACTGACACCATCTCGGCGGCTGGTCCGTGGTTGAAGTACAAGGGTCACCTGCCCAACATCTCCGCCAACACCCTGATCGGTGCCGTCAATGCCGCCACCGGTGAGACCAACGTTGCCTACGACGAGGACGGCAAGCAGTACTCCATTCCGGACCTGGCCGCCCAGTGGAAGGCCAACGGTGTTGAGTGGCTGGTTGTGGCCGAGGAGAACTACGGTGAGGGTAGCGCACGTGAGCACGCTGCTCTACAGCCCCGTTACCTGGGTGGTCGCATCATCGTGGCCAAGAGCTTTGCCCGTATCCACGAGACGAACCTGAAGAAGCAGGGTGTCGTTCCCTTGACTTTCGAGAACCCGGCCGACTATGACAAGATTGATGCTTGTGACCAGGTGGCCACCGAGGGACTGTATGAGGTCTTGCAGGCTGGTGGACAAGGCTCCATCCAGCTGCGGGTGACCAAGCGCAGCGGCGAGTCGCTGGTGGTCCCCGTCAAGCACACTCTCAGTCCGGACCAGTGTGCTTTTGTCCTGGCCGGTAGTGCGTTGAACTTGTTGGCTCAGAAGGCCAACAAGAAAAGTGCTTGATTAATGAGTGATGGGTGAAAATTAAGCGAAGTGTACATATATCCATCTGTTGGTGTTTTGTTTCATTTACTTTCGAGCGTTATATTAGTAGAATATGTTAGACAATAAACTGTTTAGACT